TGCCAAATACCCTCTCTTGCCTTTAGTTTGAACTGGTATAAAAATGAAACGACTTGCCAAAAACTAAAAATGTTCACATAAATTTACTCAAGCGCTATAAATTTTCAGTAACGTTTTATTTTACTTTTCAGTTTTAATTTTGCGTAACCCGCTCCTTAACATCATAAATTTTTATTTGTAAAATTTTTGTGGCGCATGTGCTGTAATTACTGTGCACACACAGACCATGTCTCTTGTAATGCAAATATTTGTTTTATAAACGAACAAAAAAAAAACTGAAAGAAATTGTACCTTTTACCTGAGTTATGTACTGGACAATAAAAATTTGTCTTAAGATCATTTAAAATTTTTGCAAACTTCCACTTAACAAAGCCGAAGGGGTTGCTTGCCTCAGCGCCAAGCAGCAGTTAGCAAACACATGGAAGTACAGAGTCCTTAAGGTTTTCTCTGTTCCCTTTACATTTTATAGGCTCTTTATCATTTTCTGTTTTTTTCTTCTTTAAACACAAAGCCTTCTGACAATTATTATTTGCGCTCGTTCAACTAATGTTAAGGTCATTGATATTACATGATCTTTTTCTTTTGTACTTTCTTTCCTGAGGATTCTTTTCTTTTGTTGTAAGTTAAAGAAAAGGGTTATGAAATGCGATATTATTTTAGCTACTTGGTTTGTGGGCCTAAAAATTTATTGCCAGCAAATTGAAATTGTGTTTTTTTTTTGCCTTCGATTGTATGTTAATTTTTTTTTGCTTATAGTTTATCCATTGCATCCTGATGGTTTCATTCATCTGCTGTAACTGCACCAAAAAAAAAAAAAAAAAAAAAACATTTCAATAAACCGAAATTTTAAAATTTATTGAACAATTTGTACTCAAGTTGCCTGCTTGGAAATTATTCATTTGTTATTTTGAATAATAACGGAGACAAGTAATTTTATTTTTTTATACCCTCCACCACCATCAGTGGTGATAGAGGGTATATATAAGTTTGTCGTTCCGTGTGTAACACCAAGAAATATTCATCTAAGACCCAACAAAGTATATATATTCTGGGTCCTTATCAAATTCTGAGTCGATTTAGCTATGTCCGTCTGTCCGTCTGTCCGTCTGTCTGTGTAAAACACGCTCACGTTAAAACTAAGCAAAGGAAATAAACCAAATTCACCCAAAATATTTATTATTATCCTAAGCAGTTTGGTATTGAAAATCAGCAAAATCGGTTCACAACGTAAAGAGTTATGAGTAAAAATTTCAGACTACCTCGAAAAAATTACGTTTTTTTCATAATTCTTTTGAAGTTTTCTCAGAAACTACTAAAGATATTTCGATGAATTTTGTCACACGTTATTTTTTCGGAGTAGTGATTAATTATATTCAAAATCTTTACAATCGATCCAATATTTCTCATAGCCCCCATACAAAGGTATATATTCCCGGAAATTAGTTTTTCGTTAATAACTCCCTCAAATATATCGGTATCCACACGAAATTTTGTACATATAAATATAATATGAACAGAAATCATACTTTCAACGTAGATCTTAGTCGGTCCACAATTGGTCATAGCTCCCATATAAGGTCCTATTCCGAAAATCACCTAAACGCACATATTTCATTGATGAATAAAGCTATTGTGATAAAATTTGAGTTGGATATGTTTTGTGTACATACAAATCATTCTACAAAATTTTTTACGGATTGGGCCATTATTGGTCATAGCTCCCATATAAAGCCCACTTCCGAAAATCATTTAAAAGCTCATATTTCATTGCCAACTAAAGCTATTTTGATGAAATTGGACACAAATATGTTTAGTCGAAATATAAATCCCTCTACGAAATTTTTTCCGGATAGGCCCATAATTGGTCATAGCTCCCATATAAGGTCCACTTCCGAAAATCACTTAAACGCATATATTTCATTGAAGTATAAAGCTATCGGGGTATAATTCGACACAAATCTGTTTTGTATACATACAAATCATTCTACAAAATTGTTTACGGATCGGTCCATAATTGGTCATAGATCCTATATAAGGCCCACTTCCGAAAATCACTTAAAAGCACATATTTCAATGCCAAGTAGAGCTATATTGATAAAATTCGACACAAATATGTTTTACCTAAACATGAATGACTCTTTGAAATTTTTTCCGGATAGGCCTATAATTGGTCATAGCTCCCATATAAGGTCCACTTCCGAAAATCACTTAAACGCATATATTTCATTGAATTCTAAAGATATTGAGATAATATTCGACTTGAATATGTTTTGTGTACATACAAATCATTTTATAAATTTTTTACCTGTCGGTCCATTATTGGTCATAACTCCCATATAAGGTCCACTTACGAAAATCACTTAAAGGCACACATTTCATTATCAAATAAAGCTATCTTGATAAAATTCGACACAAACATGTTTTGTCCAAATATGAATCACTCTGCGAAATGTTTCCCGAATAGGCCCATAATTGGTCATAGTTCCCATATAAGGTCCAAATCAGTTGCACGCATATATTTCATTGAATTCTAAAGCTATAGGGGTAAAATTCGACTTGAATAAGTTTTGTGTACATATGAATCTTTCTACTACTTTTTTCTCAGATCGGTCCATTATTGGTCATAGCTTCTATATAAGGTCCACTTCTGAGAGTCACTTAAGCACACATATTTCATTGTCAAATAAAGTTAATTTGAGAAAATTCAACAAAAATATGTTTTGTCTTTACATAAATCACTCTACGAAATTTTTTGCGGATAGGATATAAAACATTCTACCAATTTTTTTCTGTATCGGTCCATATTTGGTAATAAATATTTAATAATATTTAATTATCAAATAAAGATATCTTGATAAAATATGATTTGTGCACATATGAATCACTCTGCGAAATTTTTCCGGATAGGCCCTTAATTGCTCATAGCTCCTATATAAAGTCCACTTCCTAAAGTCACCTAAACGCACATATTTCATTGATTAATAAAGCTATTGGAGTAAAATTAGACCTGATCTTTTTCTGCATATAAATGATTATACGAAATTGTTTCCTGATCAGTCCATAATTGGTCACAACTCCCATATTCTGTGTATAGATATATCATTCTATTAAAATGTTTTCGAACTGGCGTATTAATATACATTTTGCTGGACCTAATCAAAATTAGTTCGACAAAAATTTTGGCAAGTTATCTAAAAATTAGATAGTTAGATGGGTTTCAATAAAAAGTAGTTTGCTGGTGGAGGGTATTTAAGATTCGGCATAGCCGAATATAGCACTCTAACTTGTTATTATTATAACTTTAAAAGAATTTATTCATTATAAGCAAAAACTTACATTCACAAGTTGCATTTTAAGTCATTATTTTAATACGGGGATGAAATCGGAGAGAAGTACTTACCAAGCTCGCTTACAAATAGGGAGATAGGTAAGAAAGTAAGTAATACGTCAAGGCTAGAAAGCAAGTACTCACAAGTAAGTCATTACTAAACTTCTTAGTAATGCAGACGATATAAGTCATTAGCATCCCAACAACAAATTACATTAAAAAGCAATGAGTTAAAAAGCTAAAAAAGCATTTTAAACCATTATTTTAACAAGCAGATGACATTGGAGGCTATAACATACCACGCTCACTTACAAATCACTACTTTAATTAGTACTTATAAATAAGGAGTTAAAAAGTTGTTTTGTTTTAACAACGAAAATATTGCTCACACAGAATACACAGTCACTTAAAATAAAATATTTACTTTTCTGGTTATATGGAAGTCAATATAGTATTTGTAATAAAGTAATGCAAACGGTAAGATGTAGTCATTGAAAAGTAAGTGGTGATGTAAATATAATCCATTAACGAGTTTTTGCTGGGTAGTTGGTTAGTTAGTTAGTTAGTTAGTTAGTTAGTTAGTTAGTTAGTTAGTTAGTTAGTTAGTTAGTTAGTTAGTTAGTTAGTTAGTTAGTTAGTTAGTTAGTTAGTTAGTTAGTTAGTTAGTTAGTTAGTTAGTTAGTTAGTTAGTTAGTTAGTTAGTTAGTTAGTTAGTTAGTTAGTTAGTTAGTTAGTTAGTTAGTTACTTAGTTAGTTAGTTAGTTAGTTAGTTAGTTAGTTAGTTAGTTAGTTAGTTAGTTAGTTAGTTAGTTAGTTAGTTAGTTAGTTAGTTAGTTAGTTAGTTAGTTAGGTTTAAATTTCTGATTACATTGGACCTCATTTCGTGAACAAGACGATACTGGTGTCCCGTAAGCCGGTTCATTTGACTATACTACTCTGACGCTTCATCATGTGACTACAACGCCGCTCTAGAATTGTATTTGATATGTTACGTATTTCTGCGGATCAACTTTTCAATTTAACCTTAAAATTTTGGGAAATTACTCTCTTCATTTAAAAGCATATATAATGTTTCACTTAAAGACAAAAATTTTTCAGAAAATTTACCGATTTTTTTTTTTAGGAAAATTTATCTTTTTATACAAATTTTCGGAAAACTTCCTTTTTACAGATAATTTTTGAAAAAGTTAATTTGTATACAAAATTTTCGGAAATTTCCCGTTCTATGGAAGGATTTTCTCTTTTAAAGAAAATATTCAAAAAATTTCTATTTAAAAAAATGGATAGCTTTTAATAGAAAATTATTGGAAAATTATGTTTTTATTTAAAAAATTATCCTTTCAATGCAACATTTTCAAAAATGTCTCATTTTAAGAAATTTTTTTTTGGAATTTTTCTCTTTTAATAAATAAAATTCGAAAATTTTCTCTTATTATATAAAAATTACCAAATATTTTTTCTTGTTATAGAAAATGTTATGAAAATATGTCACTTTTTTATAAAAATTTTTCGAAAAATTAATATTTTATTAAAAATATTTAAAAATGTTATAAACAATTTTGAATAAATTCTTGTTATTATTATTATAGAATTATTTCACTTCTTCAAAAACATATCCTAAAATCACTTGAATCTTAATTTTTAATTTTTATATCATTTTTTTTAATTACAGCTCACAAAATTGTTTCGAACATTAGTTATCTGTAAGTATTTTTATATTAATAATAATCACTTTATTAACTTTTATTTATACACATTTTATTTTCAAATTTAAAATTGTTGGTTAACAGCCCTCCAAGAGCACGGTATTAAGTTCCTACGAAAGTTGAAATGAACGTAGGAACTCTATACCTCGCTTATGGCAATAAAGGCGTCTCATATCTGTTTCTTATTCATATACACACTTTATCTTATGTTCAAAACACTTTTTCTTACAAAAATATATAATAACTACTTACCTTCATACTCAAGCGAAATTCTTCCTTTAAAAAGAAACTCCTTTAGTAATACAATTAAAATTGATTATATTAATGTTATATACAAACTCCGCCAAAGAAATCACCAATCAAATATTTACATAAAAGCTAAAAATAAAAAGAGATTATCAGAAACCTATTGAAGAAAAAAAAAGTTATTAGACAAAATTGATTTTGGCCAAGATACCAGAAAAACACTAATGCAAACATTATTTGCTAGTTAACATGTCTTAAAATTTTATGCATACAGATTTCGGGTTTAGTATAAAGAAAATAACTTCCTTACGGTATTTAAGGATTTGTGGTAGAAAACTGTTTGTTGTTGTTGTTTTTTGTTTAATATTGATAATGTATTATTACTTTATCTGTTTACTATATGGTGTATTTCTTCCTTAATAATATGTTTTTGTATAAAAAACAATTTAAATTTATATTTATTTATGATGTGTGTTTAAGCATGTAGTTATTAGTGGTTTAGCAATTTCTTATGGGTTTTATTTTTTGAAGAAAATGTATATTTATTTAAAAGCATTGGTGCCTTAATGTCTGGTTTTTTTTGAAGAAGAAAAACTATTAGTTTTTGTGAAAAAAAAAACTGAAATAAAAAATATTTTAAATTATTGATACGATTCCTTTTGTCTGAGACATTTCCAGCAAAAACTTACATATCAAAGGGGGTTTAACCCTCTTACGCAATAGCATTTTAAATCATTATTTTAACACGATGCTTACAAGTAGGGAGTTACTCAAGTACTTACTATGATCGCTTGCAAATAAGGAGTTAAATAAGTAGTTTGTTAAAAAAATAGTAGAATACGTCCACTGTGTCCATTATTAGTTTTAACAACAATAGCTTTTTCTTTTTGACACATATGTAAGTCATTACTAGACTCCTTCTAAGTAATATAGTCGTTACGTAGTAGTCATTAAAAAGTATGTATAAGTCTTTACCGTGTTTTTGCTGGGTTAGGTTATGAAATCCTTAATAAAGAACAGTTTTAACATTTACCGTAAATTTTGCTCTTTTTATAGAAAATTTTCAGATAATTACATTTAAAAAAAAAAAAAATTTAGAAAAACCTTCCCTAAAATTTTTTTTTCGAAAATTTCTCTTACACAAAATTTTGGGAAAATTTCTCTTTTTATAGAAATTTTTTTGGAAATTTTTTTAAAAGAATTTTTCGGAACATTTTTCTTTTATAGAAAATTTTCTGAAAATTTCTCTTTTTAAAGACACTTTGCGAAAAATTTTCTCTTTTTATAGAAAATTTGCGAAAATTTCACTTTTTATTAGAAATTTTGTACGAATTAAATTGCCCTTTTTAGCTCAACTTTTCAGTTCTAATGCAGCTCTATTTCAGTTCTAGTTCAGTTCTAGTTCAGTCTAGTTCAGTTGTCGTTCAGTTCTAGTCAGTCTAGTTCAGTTATAGTTCAGTTCTAGTTCAGTTCTAGTTCAGTTCTAGTTCAGTTCTAGTTCAGTTCAGTCAGTTCTAGTTCAGTTCTAGTTCAGTTCTAGTTCAGTTCTAGTCAGTTCTAGTTCAGTTCTAGTTCTAGTTCTAGTTCAGTTCTAGTTCGTCTAGTTTCAGTTCTAGTTCAGTTCTAGTTCAGTTTCTAGTTCAGTTCTAGTTCAGTTCTAGTTCAGTTCTAGTTCAGTTCTAGTTCAGTTCTAGTTCAGTTCTAGTTCAGTTCTAGTTCAGTTCTAGTTCAGTTCTAGTTCAGTTCTAGTTCAGTTCTAGTTCAGTTCTAGTTCAGTTCTAGTTCAGTTCTAGTTCAGTTCTAGTTCAGTTCTAGTTCAGTTCTAGTTCAGTTCTAGTTCAGTTCTAGTTCAGTTCTAGTTCAGTTCTAGTTCAGTTCTAGTTCAGTTCTAGTTCAGTTCTAGTGTTCTAGTTCAGTTCTAGTTCAGTTCTAGTTCAGTTCTAGTTCAGTTCTAGTTCAGTTCTAGTTCAGTTCTAGTTCAGTTCTAGTTCAGTTCTAGTTCAGTTCTAGTTCAGTTCTAGTTCAGTTCTAGTTCAGTTCTAGTTCAGTTCTAGTTCAGTTCTAGTTCATTCTAGTTCAGTTCTAGTTCAGTTCTAGTTCAGTTCTAGTTCAGTTGCGTTCTAGTTCAGTTCTAGATCAGTTCTAGTTCAATTCTAGGTCAGTTCTAGTTATAAAAAATTTTCGGAAAATGTCTCTTTCATAGAAAATTTTCCCAAAATATGTAATTTTATAAAAATATTTGGAAAACGTTTCTGAAAATGACATTTTTGTGGAAATTTATTTCTTTTTTTTTATAAAACAGAGACTAAGGAAGAGATCTTTTTTCAAATCTTGCTCTTGGCAGAGAACGATTCGTAGAAGAGTTAAATGATTTCTCTTGTGATTATAAGATTTTTTAGTAAAAAACCATATCTATCAAATTATTAAGTTCTAGAACAGGTATAGGCAGAGACTTTTTGTTCACGTGTGAAATTTCTCGTTGTGGGTAGAAATCTTTAAATTTCGACAATAATTATAGTCTAAAATTCTATAGCACAGTCGTGCGATCAAAAAAAAAAATACTACTAAATATTCTATAATCTGAGAATCTTATTAATGACTTCTTCACCCTCACAGCCACTTTTTTCAAAAAACACACCTTAAAGTGTTTCTAATGTTGTTTCACTATGTATAGTTTTTTTTCTCCACTTTTTTTGAAAATGTTAATTATGTCTAAAAGAAATCACATTGATTGACTTATCCGACAGATCTAAACGATTACATTTAACAGCAAATGAATGAATAAGTGACGGTAGTAGAGTGGATTGAGTGTTGGTTGCCTTTTATTGAGTCGATTAGTGTGTGTGTTTGTGTGTCTGTGGTGGGGGTTTTGTTTTGGGTGACATTTGAATTACTTACGATCATACACACTATTCACTATGCCAAAAAAACAAAGTAGAAACAACAAACCGGCAATTATGGCAAAAAAAAAAAAACTAAACCTTTGCTGCTGCTGTCGCTAATATTTCAATACGTTTTGTTTTTTTTACAATTTAAATAAAATTTTTTAACGCGAATTGTCGTACTTTGTGGGCTTGTTAGCAAATTGTGTAAAAAAACTTTTTGTTTCTAAAAAACCTTTAAATTAACGCCCACTTTTAGTTTTTTGCTTTGAAAGAAACTATTACGACTACTATGAACAAAATTGCCATTAAAACAATACAACTTTGTGTGTGACTGACGACTGACTAAATGACTAACTGAATATAAATTTTACATATGATTTTGTTTTTTTTTTACAAAACATTAATTTATTTATAGGTTTTTTTTTTTCTAAACGTTTAAATTTTAAAAGAAATCTCTGCTTCAATTTTTATTCTGTTCACTCTTCTAGACAATTTAGGCATTTAATATGCATTTATATGACTATTTTATATGCAAAATATTGTTATTGTTATTAAATGCTATTTTCTTGTAAATATTGTTCCTATTGTTGTTGGTTTGAAAGCAAAGTTTGCAAAAAAAATTATTGTAAATATTCTTTTGCTGTATAAAAAACAAAAAAGGTGTGATTTGTGATCTGTCAAGCTCACACAATTTACCTACAGATCACTTTTTCTTGATCGTTGTCGTTGATCGGCAACAGTAGTTGAGTGTTGTGGTAACAGTTACAAAAAAAAAAAAAAAAAAAAAAAAAAAAACACAAATCAGCTAAATGCCAGGCAACTAACAAAGTAACTGCTGATATTTGTTTTTGTACTGCAACAATGCGTTGACAGTCTAATGTTTTTTCTGACGTTTTCGTTCCCTTTTTATTGTTTTTTGTTGCCCTCTCATGCTTTTAATGTAAATTTGTTAAACAATTGTTTTAAAATTCTAGTTACAATGACATTAATTTAAAAAAGTAGAATTTCGAATGCCCTACAAAAACAACAACTATCTTCTAAAGAAAGCTATTCTCAGTTAATTTTATATCTCCACGAGAGAATTATTCCCTTGCAAAACTTTTGCAATGAAAACTATTCTCAGATAGACAGCTTTAAAGAAATACTATTCTACACAAATTTCTTGTCCTTAGGGCAACAATTTTCTATAGAGAACTCTTCTCGTTTGGTCAACAATTTTCTATAGAAAACTCTTCCCTTTTGGGGAACAGTTTACTATAGAAAACTCTTCCCCTTTGGTCAAGAATTTTCTATAGAAAACTCCCCTCCTTTGGGCAACAATTTTCTATAGAAAACTCTTCCCCTTTGAGCAACAATTTACTATAAAAAACTCTTCCCATTTAGTCAACAATTTTCTATGTAATACTCTTCTCCTTTGGGCAACTATTTTCTATAGAAAACTCCTCCCCTTTGGGCAACAATTTTCTATAGAAAACTCTTCCCCGTTGGGCAACAATTTTCAATAGAAAACTCTTCGCCTTTGGGCAACAATTTTCTATAGAAAACTCTCAACCTTTGGGCAACAATTTTCTATAGAAAACTCTTCTCCTTTGGGCAACAATTTTCTATAGAAAACTCTTCCCCTTGGGGCAACAATTTTCAATAGAAAACTCTTCCCCTTGGGGCAACAATTTTCTATAGAAAACTCTTCCCCTTGGGGCAACAATTTTCTATAGAAAACTCTTCCCCTTGGGGCAACAATTTTCTATAGAAAACTCTTCCCCTTGGGGCAACAATTTTCTATAGAAAACACTTCCCCTTGGGGCAACAATTTTCTATAGAAAACTCTTCCCCTTGGGGCAACAATTTTCTATAGAGAACTCTTCC